TGGATTGTAGAGCTCTTGGGGACTGGGACTGAGATTCATGTGCACTATATAAATACCTGTCATAGATCCTTAGATTGTAAGCTCCTGGGGACTGATGTCCATGTGCACTATATGGAAAAACTGGAATGGATAATAAATCCCCTTTACATTTACCAAAACTATGAAGGATAAGGAGAACCTTAAACAATCAATTTTGTTTAAGATCAGACAGGCTCTTGAACTACATAATTGATTGCAGATCTAAAAGGAGATTGTACAATCAGATTGTATAGTGTGTGACCAGCTTGGGGGGGGGGGGGGGGTTTTTATTTACAAACTTTTCATGGCCCCTGTGCAAGGATGACGCACACATTTGGGACATGATCCATATTTTAAAATAAAATGGGAAAAAAAACAGTTTTTTTTTCTTTATTTGTACTTGTAAGTTTTGCTGTAACTGTCGCCATATGCTGGTGGAAGCTCTTCCCTTTGATCTGCAGATGAGTGGAACAGACGGTGTTACATTGTATCTCTTTATTGTATATAATGATGGGCCGTTTCTTTGTGACCACTGACGCACACATATACAGCAACTCCCTGCTATCATTTTGACAGAATTTACAACACACCCGATGTGTACTTTGAATGACGTTTGGGTGTGTATAGAACATCTTGTCCACAGATTAAGAACAGGGTGTAACTAGGATTCTAAATGGCTGCTTGTTGTGCAGACATTTTGGCATCAGAACTTTGAGTTGCGGACATGAAACAAGCATTAAAGTGACACTAAACTCAGGAGTTCAATCTTAAAAATGCATTCAAGTCCCTTAACTATTAACGGAAATGTATCTTATTTGTGTATCACTCGGCTGTAGATCCTCAAATCATCTCTGAATTGGTGCTGACACTGTCCTTCCTTCTGGGGGGTGGAAACTTTTGGTCCCTGTGTGTGTTGTAAAGTAGTCGCCACTCCAAGCTCGCTCCTGTGATTGGACTACAATCTCCGGTTTAGTTTACTAATTGTACCAAAGTAGCATAAGATACATATCTGTTAATAGTTAAGGTACTTGAATGCATTTATAAGACTTGACTGCTGAGTCTGGTGTTATTTTAAGTGAAGTCGGTATTTTGTGAGCTGTGTATTTATTGTGAGTTGATCGAGTTAATTAATTAGTGTCACATAATGGCAATTGGGGTTTAAAAATAATACGTTGAGCACTGGTAGCTTCCGTTCTAGCAGTACAGGTCTACTCTAAGGTGCCTGCACTTACCTGTAGCAGCCTGGTATATCCTCTGCCTTGCCCAGTCGCTGGGCGTTTGATTGGGTGAGCCGCCTTCACTATTTTTATAGTGCAGAATCTTGCCCGCCTCCTGCACATTTCTGTTGGCTGGTGAGGCAGCCCGTCATAGTAATCGGCTAATGGGAATATGTGTAGGCGTGGTTCATCAACAAGCTCCGATGCTGCTGTGAGGTGCCGGAGATTTGACCAATGAAACAGCCTGTAATTCCGGCAAACCCGAGGATACTGAAAGCTGTATTCTTGCTCTGCATATGTGTAGAACCTTTCGTAATTTGTAAAGTGACTGAGGGGGAATTTATCAAAACTGGAACAGCCAGAATCTGCAGCATCTGTCCTTGGCAACCAATCGGGTTCTCTGTTTTATTTTCAAAGCTTAGCTGAACAAACTGAAAAGAGAAGCTGATTGGTTGCCATGCACAGCTGATCCAGATTTTGTCTGCTCCATTTTTAATTCCCCCCACTGAGTCTTTAAGTTGAATAGTTCTAACTCCACCATGTGAGGGAGTAGTGTGTCTCATTATAGTCCTTTAGCAGTCCAACTAATGGGAACTAAAGCTAAGCAATATACATTAATTGAAATACCTGTTTATATGCAGCTAGTGTAAGTACCTTTTTTTTTTTATAATGGATCAGTATCTGCCTCTTCAATCATCTGTCCAGTAGCACCCGGACAGGGAAAGAGAGGCAGTACTGGGACTCAGTCAGGTATGCTCTATAAATATATGCGGCCAATAACGGAGCAGAATGATGATGTCATCAGTCTGCTGCTAGAACTTCACTGTCCAATCACAGGCTAGGGGCAGGAAAGTGATCTCTTTACATACCTTAGCGTGTTACTACACCTTCGGTATAACTACTCTTGCATGGTAGCCCCCTCCAATTTTTATACTTGGCCATGATCCAGTCAAATCATTATTATTATTATTTTTTTTTTACTAGATTGCAGATTTCTTTTTCCCTGCCGAGTCCACGCGTTTGCTCTGCTTTGCTATTCATTCCTATAGACTTATCAGGGGTGTGGAATTTTTTTTTTTTTTTTAAACTACTTGACCTAGGACTAAAGCGGGAGCCCAATTTACTTGTCCCTCATGACAATGTACTTGGTTTTCTGATATTGAGTGGCGCTGTCCGTTTGCCACTGTAGCACCCACCTATTCCTAAAGGGACTTACCGGTCAGGAATGCGTTGGGACTTGGCTGCCACAATATGGCACACAGTGGAATGGGGGCAGCAGTCAGCGCATGCACACACAATGCCATAGATCCATGACTGGGAGCGGCAGATGTGCCCGCAACCCAGCACTGCTCCCCTACTCGGGGGTTTGTCACTACAATGAGAAGAGAACACAACCAGGCTGCTACAGCCACCCAGGTCACTTGCACAAAATGAGCGGCCGCTCCCCCTGCTATAGGTTTAGCCCCTTTTTCCCACAGCAGGGCTTAATGTAGAAAAAACCAGGCGGACGTAACCATGTCCCGCGTGTCAGGCGATACGATTCGTGCATCCCTGACTTTGAAGTACAAGCCAGTCATGGGACTCCATCACGGTAAATAGTGCAGAGCATATGTTTATTTTGCTGCTTCTCCCTTACTAGTACAGGAGGGGAATCTGTATCATTGTGCAAGACTGAAGAGAGGGCTTCATAGCTGTCTGCTGGAAGATGAATCCTAAATTAAGACAGTTGAGCCATTTACAGTGATTCTTATGTGGAGCTTCATCATTCCACAATTAGCATGCAGATTGTGAGTCACAGCACCTGCCTGTAATGCACATTCAGTGTTGCAGGTCTTTCCAATATATATTGAACCCCCACCTCTGCGGTTAGTACATGCCGGGAAGTGCTACTACAGATTGCATGTACAATACAGCTTGTATTTACCATACAGTTAAATCGGCATTAGTATGTGCCCACTAGAAGACAATAACATGTTTTGCAGCTTTTCCAAATGCTGATTAAATCACTTAGAGTGGATGCTGTTTCTTGATTAAGTTTAACAGAGTTATTCACAAAAGGGTGATCAGAGAAGGCAGGAGAAGTGAACAATCTAGGATAACATCGCTGAACTGGAAAACTTCTCCAAATCATCACACTTTCCAGTTCAGCTATGTTATCCTAGATTGTTCACTTCTCCAAACTCTTCACCCTTTTGTGAATAACTCTTATTAGCTTCTTGCAGAATCAGCTGGCTCCCTGAGCACTGGCCCTGATATCCTATTTTAGGGTGACCTATTTCCAAAAATACTTAGCTGAAGTATTTTGCAGAATCTGAATGTATTTTTTTTAAAAAGATTGAGGGTGTTATACTACTTTAATTTGAACTTTTTGCATGCATCTTGAGAAAAAAAAATGTAGCAGTGGAAAATTTGACTTCTGACTCATGAAATTTGTTTCTCTCTTCTCTTTTTTAGATTGTGAGACGTTACACCTCCTTTTCTGCCCAATTTTAACAGATTTTTCTTTTTGTTTTGTTTTGGCTATTCCCTCATCATGCAGTGCTAAGCACCCAACGAGGGGAAGTCTTGTCTCTGGGAGGTAGTTTATGGAGTCACTGTTTTGTTTTATAATGATCAGCCATAACATTATAATCACTGAGAGGTGACGTAAATAACTTTGATGGTCACATTACAATGGCGCCTGGAAGAGGGTGGGATATATTAGGCAGCACGTGAACATTTTTGTTCCTGAAGTTGATGGGTTGGAAGCAGGAAAAATGGGCAAGCGCAAGGACCTGAGCGACTTTGACAAGGGCCAAATTGTGATGGCTAGACAGCTGGGTCAGAGCAACTCCAAAACTGCCGCTCTTGTGGGATGTTCCCGGTCTGCAGTGGTCAGGACCTACCAAAAGTGGTCCAAGGAAGGAAAACCAGTGAACCGGCGACAGGGTCATGGGCGGCCAAGGCTCATTGATGAATGTGGGGAGCAAAGGCTGGCCCTTGTAGTCCAATCAAATTGTAATGCTACAGTAGCTGAAATTGCTGAAAAAGTTAATGCTGGTTCCGATAGAAAGGTGTCTCAACACACAGTGCATCGCACTTTGTTGCGTATGGAGGCAAAATGTTATGGCTGATCAGTGTAAATCAAATTTGCAGCCCAGTATCACCAATGGAGTCATCCAGTGTAATTCAAAATGTGCAGCCCAGTATCACCAATGGCAACATCCAGTGTAATGCCTAAAAAGCGTTATGTTGTGTATAGACATATTTTGAGTTTTCCCTCCGATATCTGTATGGAAGTTCTTTTACACCAAGCTAGTTGCATCTTGCCAGGATAGGATTCAGAATAGTTAATTCACTACATTGTGATTTGAGTTTATTTGCCACATTAATGAGCCAGCAGGCATTAAAACATTAAAAACTATCTGCTCGCACTGACAATAGCAAGGGCTTTTAAAGTGTTAGGTGCCAGCTGTTGTTTTTAGGCCCATTGGCCCCCTATTACACTCTGAACTGTTCAGCCTCAGAATGTGATATAAATGGTCATACACTTTAATGCTCTAGAGTAACTGCTATTCATTTTCATGTAGGTGTCCGGTAAGATTGTATTTATTGTACTGGCATTAGCTTGAATTTTCAGAACGGAGCTACCTCCTAGAGAAAGACTTCCCCGACTTGTCCTTGTCATCTCCTAAAATGGAAGCGATCAACAGCAGCCCATTTGTGCCGCATCTGCTGAAATCTGGCCCAGCTATGGGTGCTATTGCAATGGAACTGTCATCTAGAATGGAAGAATTGAACAACAGCCAATTTCTGTCAAATCTGCTGAAATCTGACCCAGCTATCGGCACTATAACTTTGGAACTGTCATGTGAACTCTACCGCATCTCCACATTTTCTAAATTTCCAAATAATGTGCCTGTTTCTGAGCGAAGCCTTGCCAAAGCTGGTTTTTATTACACCGGTGTCGATGACAAAGTAAAATGCTTCACCTGTGGGTTAATGCTAGATAATTGGAAAAGGGGAGACATTGCATTTGAAAAACATAAGAAGCTATGTCCAAGCTGTAGCTTCATCCAGAACGCAAATTCAGTCAATCTTGGAGCATCCTTGTATTCAGCTTTCTCGCCTCCAAGTTCTCTGAACAGTCCGCTGCAGCCTGAAGAAGGTGTTATAAACATATCTTACAAAAGTATTCCTCATGATTCAGTTACATCAAGGTCCGTGGAGGACATGTCCCACCTAAGGAGCAGTGACAATTCTTGCATGTACACCGAAGAAGCCAGGCTACACAGTTTCACAAACTGGCAAGTAACATTCTTAAATCCCAGTGAACTTGCTAAAGCTGGATTCTACTACTTAGGTCCAGGAGACAGAGTGGCTTGTTTTGCCTGTGACGGGAAGTTAAATAATTGGGAGCCTAATGATAACGCTTTGGCAGAACACCGCAGACACTTTCCAGATTGTTCTTTTGTGAGCGCAGCTGCAAAGCCATCGCTGAGATCCAATGTTTCTAATGTTTGCATGCAGACCACATCTTCTCGGCTGAAAACCTTCTTAAATTGGCCTTCGAGGATTCCGGTGACACCCAAAAAACTATCTGAAGCTGGATTTTACTATGTTGGTAGGTATAGAATGTATAGTTGGTAAAATGGATTATTAAAGAACTGCAAAATAAACAAAACTCTGGATATTTAAAAATCTGAGCTGGTGAAATCATGGAACAAAACCCACTGCCACTTAGGGGCTGATTTATAGCTTTATGCTGGGCAGATGCAATTTGCACGGCATTATGGCCACTATTGCCAATTTCCTATGCTGCTCAGCGCCATTTAGTGGCGATAATGCCATGCGAACAGCATCTATCCAGTTATATGTTGGGAGGAAGAGTTCTAAATCAAAAAGATACCTGCACTTTAAACCCAAGTGCACTTTTCCTTTTTGCTCCCCCTTATAGGAACACTAGAAAGGTGTGATCTTGTGATATTCAGAATGTGTTACCGCAACAAAACAAGTGTGATTCAGCAATAGAGCAGCAAATAAGTAGTGCAGTCTTTGACACATCCATGTTTGTTCCTGTGGCTTCCCTCTCCACAGTATCACAGCGGTACCCCTAACTCGCTGGGACAGATGAGGTAAAGGGGGGTGCTATCCATGACAAGCATAATACAGAGATTGTCTTCCAAGTGCAATCCCAGACCTTCAATAAAAAGTACCCTCAAAGTGCAATAAATCACTAACCATAACCTATAACAATGATCAAATCCACTAAATACATGTCATCTTTAAATTCCTAACAGCATCTCCAAAACTATAATGTAAAGTCTAATCCCAAGGTGGAGTCAGGCAATCCCCCAACTATGACACACACCTAGGTCTCATCAAAGAAGCAACACCATAGTGACTTATTAAATATTCATATGGTCCATCTTCCATGGGTACACCCTCCACTAATATTAAAGAAAATAAATACTATGAACTAAGAGAATCTTGAAGATAATGTCACTGATGGTAAAGTTTTAATTTCAGGACCTCCTACCTTCTCATAGTGGATTCCCTGTGGATGAATACCTGCAGCCCGTCTCTTGAGATCTTCACTGTATAGTCATGCTTGTCACCACACCGCTAGTCTGCAAACTAGTCCTGGATGGGTCCTGTGCATTTGTGCCATGGTCCCTGTTGGGCTCCAAAAGGAGTACAGACCCAGCCATAGCAATGAACGTAAATGTGCCATGCACAATTTTGTTATGTTGTTTTGTTAACACTGGACACAATCTTCAGAGCCACTGTAGTAGCGAACTTTGAGATATTGGTCACACAGGGAGTGTATTGTTTTCATTGAATTGAGAGAGGGAGCATTAAAGCTGACCATACACTATGCCGTTTTGCACGGTTCTTATTGAGCCGCCTAAAATTTGCACAGTGGGTACTGCTGTCCGCTGGCTTTGGACCCAGCATCCCACGATCAGCTGATCGAAGGAGCCGGTCGGAAAATCTTCGAACGGAAAGAGCAGGCAGCCAATCGTCTGCTGCCTCTGTTCGAGTATTCTGCCAGCGGCCGCTGTCGGAATTCAATGAAAATGGCGGGAGGTTCCTCGTGAGCGTTGATGGAGGAATCTGTTTATATTTTCTTTGTTCAGCTTGAACAAAGAAAATATTACAGCCTATAGCTAACTTTAAGGACAACTGTTATCAACTTTTCTAAAATAATGCTAATATAAAAATAGGGATTTTAGATTTAAAAAAAAAAACTTAGGGAGATTTTCTTTTCACACATCTGTTTACTTTATTGCAGGACGGAATGATGACGTAAAGTGTTTCTGTTGTGATGGTGGATTGAGATGCTGGGAGTCTGGAGATGACCCTTGGGTTGAACATGCAAAATGGTTTCCAAGGTACATCCCTATTTCCTGTGTATATGTAGCTTGCGGTCAGAAGTGAGAATCGTCTACTGTCATTTATTATTAATGGAACCTGGATGTGTGTGTAAATGTATACATGCTTCTGTTATTCTAATCGGAAGCTGCCATATGTCTTACCTCTTGATATTCCCACCTGTTCTAATGTTCTGTAGCTGCTTCCACTTGTCAATAATGCTGACAATTCTGGCTGTGAAAAGAGTAGCAAAAGCAGAATGATAACTTGGGGAATAGTATAATGGGGTCTAAATTGTATCTGATGTTACTCTCATCAACTACGCAGCATCAAATTAGTAGTTTTTGTCAATCATATTCTTGAAGGCAGCCTGTTTTTTAAAATGCCACTTCAAGGCAAACCTTGTTGATGTCTCCTAAAAATGCTAGTTGCTTGACTGTCCCTATATGCTACACTGATCTGAAATAGACATGCGAATCAAGACTTATCAGGATCTGCTTACCTGTTTCAGGCCATTGATTTTAGAAATATGGCGCTTGTGTATCAGCATGATAGCCAGCGTGTTCAGGAATAGTATGAATCCACACAGCACACTGTATATACTAGTATTCTGCTATATACACACAACCAGTTAGGACTTTTTATGCTCTGTATCCTGTCCTTTTCTTCTAATGAAGCTTGAATAAAAGCAATGGTTACTGCGTTTTGGATCATAGGGAGCGCTTATTTGCTGCTCTTATGTGTGTGGAAAGTGCTGCTTTTAATACCAGAGATTACTCTTGTCAGTTTGGACTCGTGAACCCAAGCTGCTTTTTAACCCCCCTCCAGGGCTAAGGTGTTTGGTATTCGGCTACACGTGTTTGCACGGGCAACAAAGAATTGTTTTCTATGTGAAATACAGTAATGGTGGTACCTGTTTGTGTATCGTGACTGGCATACTTCTAAAGTGAAGGTTTTTAGTTGAGACTTATGCCAAACTATTTGTGAAAACTTCATTTTCTTTGTATAATTTTATTATTTTGCTACTTTTTTTCTTTTAGGTGTGAATATCTGTTGCACATTAAAGGTCAGGGCTTTGTCCGAGACATTCAAGAGCGGTATCCACATCTTCTAGATCAGGTAGGTTGGAGAGCAGTTTTAAGTGAAAATCCACCCTAGGATTACTCCATGAACCTTAGCCATAAAACGCTTCTACCTAGATGAATACTCAGCACCATGTTTGACCTCTGTCGGCACTCCGCTGGTCCTGCAGTCAGCATTGGGAAACTGTCAGCTGCCAGTGACACTGCAATGCCTGGTGACCTTTAGCCCTCTTCCAGCATCTTCTAGCTAGCAGTTTTGTAATCACAGGATGTTTATATGATGAATGATCTGTAGACAAGACATATTGTATAACTGTGCCCTTGAGCAGATTCAGCTCGTCACTTAACACTAGTAACTTCTGTAGTCCTATCAGTTTGAACAGTCTTGTTGGGAGAGGGCAACTGTAAAATAAGGGAGAGATGAAGTGTTGTCAATATCCTAAACATATGCTAGATATAGTGATTTATGTCTACATTAAGCCAATATATCTTCAACTATTAAGGCTAACTTTTTTTTTTTTTTTATTCTAGTTGCTATCTACTTCAGAATCTCAAAATGAAGCCCAGTATCCACCCAGTGAGTATATTTAAGTTAAAAAAACTAAACAAAAACCCCACCAAAAATGGGCCAGTTGATGTAAGAGAACTACATTAGCAAAGTTCAGTGATTGGCAAAATTAGCTTCCCTTGTAAAGAGTCCTCACACCCGGCACCTTTTTAAGCTGCTTTAACCAGTTTGATTTGAAATGTAAGCACATTGACCAAAGTAACCTGCCACCAATCATCCTGATCATTCCATGCTTTTTAACTGTTAGTGGTGAGTTCCTTTGGTCCAATTAAGAGTAAGTATTCCGTGCTGTGTATTATTGTGTTTTAATACAAAGCTATAGCGGCCAACACAAACTGTTTTTTTTTTTTATACAGAAACAATATGTCCACATGCCAAAATAAGAAGAATAAAAAAAGTTCATAAATCAAATGTCTTTAGTGTCTTCAATCTTCTAGAAACAGAAACTGAACCATCCTCAGACTATTATCACCTCCATTGTTTCTTAAATGTGCATCGGGTGCTTGTCCCATGATCCCAAGCATACACTCTTGCTCACCTGTATATAATTGGCCCTGACTAAAAATACTTAAGTATGGTCATAAAACGCTTCCCTTTAATCAGGGATAATGACCTGGCTGTTTTCAAGCTGTAACCCTTCTGCTTCCAAGCGCTAACACTTCTATACGCAAAGTTTATTGAGAACTAACAAAAACTACTCGCATAAAACCTCCGATATGCATGACCTATTCAAACCCCGCTCCAAACCTCTGCAAACAAGGAGATGTAACCATGTGGGTAAACCACTGGAGAAAGCTCCTCTCCGCCTGTAGTTACTGGTATTCTGTGCACTGCACTTCCCAGACTGTCGTAAGACTCCACCCCACGTGTTACGTCGCAAAGACTTCATCAGGGGTGTAAGTTACACTGTGTGCTGTCTTATCAATAACATCTGAGCACTCTCCTTCCCACATGATTTAGAAGTGTTTAAAGCTTGGAAGCAGAAGGGTTACTGCTCAAAAATAGCTGGGTCATTGTTCTTTTGGTCCAGTTTGGGGTTTTTGCGCTTAATTCTGATTTCCATTTGCTGTGAGCTCGCCCTGCTTTGAGGCTATGTTCACAGCTAGGCGATTCAGATGCCGAGCTGTTTTTGCACGTTTCCGATCGCGTGCCTGCTCATTGTAAAACGCAAGATTTTCAATGCATAGAGATGTCTATGGGACCCAAACCGCACAACAGCTTCTGCACCTTTTCGCGCGACAAACCGCAAAGGAGTGAGCAGTCTCCATAGACCTCAATGCGAATCTGTTTTGCGTGACTCAAATCGCACGATAAATCGCCTAGGTGTGCACCGGCCCTGACTCGAGAAGGGCTGATGTCAGGAAACTGGCATTTTCAGAAGTTAAGCTATTGCAGCCCCCGTTGCTTATCTCTGAGGACGGGTCTCCTTGTAAACATCTTCCTGGCTGTAGCTGGACTGAGCGCGCAGTAATCGGTATATGAGAGAGAACATGTACATGTGTTTTTTTTATCTTTCACCATGGAGGCCGTTTACATGCAAACATAATTTTGTTTTAGTACCTCTGGTGTGATTATTAGATGTAGAGCACGTTGTTCCAGAAACTGTTCTAAGAGAGGAAGTCCATTGAGTATCCTATTCTAATAGTTCCTTTGTGCAATTTCAGTTATTCGCTTGGATAAAGAAAGTAACCAGGATGATGAGACTTACATGAACACTACAGTGGTCCAAGATGTTCTGGCTATGGGCTTCAACCGCCGATTGGTCAAGGAAACCATATTTAATAAAATACTGACCTCAGGAGGGGATTACAAAGATACTGTGGAGTTGGTGACTGATTTATTGAGTGCCCAAAAAGAGCAGACTGAAGAGGAGAAAGACAGACAGTCGGAGCAGAATTCAGAAGGTAATTCTTAAGATGGACTCTGTATGTGAATCGTTGCTTATAAAAGGGGATGCACCTAAATCCAGTGTCAACCTATGAGCGAATAACATTAAGAATCTGGATCATTTATTTAGCTTATGCAATGAGATTTGGGAAGATATAACAAATATAAAACCAGGGTTGTCCCAATTTGGCTGCATAAGTGGAAATACACTTTGCAAAATTCCCTTAATCATCACAGCAAGACTCTAAAGATTAGCAGTCGTTGGTATTTGAGTATACAGGTGAAACTCGAATAATTAGAATATTGTGCAAACGTAATTGCAGTAAGTGCTGCAAAAGGGGCCCAAACCAAGTACTGAGTACATATGCATGCTTGTACTTTTCAGAGTTCTGATATTGTTCTATGTACAATCCTTGTTTTATTGATTGCATGTAATCTACTTTTTTGAGGTTGTGGATTTGGGGTTCTTGGGGTTTTCATGAGCTGTAAGCCATAATCATCACAATTATGACAAATCACGGCTTGAACTATCTTGCTTTGCATGTAATGAGTCTCTCTCATATATTAGTTTCACCTTTTAAGTTGCATTAGTGAAATAAATGAACTTTGCACGATATTCTAATTATTCGAGTTTCACCTGTAGATTCCCTCTAAGCAGTCTCCAGAGTGTTCCAGATTTTGCCTATTAGATAACTTTACAGCTCTATTTTGTGTAAGATGAGCCTGGGCGTGTTTCCATCTGGCATAACATCTGAACTTATGCAGTTTAAAACGGCAAAACTCAGCTTATTCACCAATTCTAATGTGTTAAATGTTAACCCACTTGGGCCAATATAGCCACAAGAGTAAAGTACATGTAATGAGCACAAATGCCAAAAATCCAGAGGTGGCTTAAGGACAGTTGCAAGTGCAAAGGCCAGCTATTGCCCATGCTAGTTGTGGGGTGGTACCATCGTATGTAGTGAAATAGGTGACTGATCTTCCCTGGTGCAGACACTGAAGTCTGCTATGTGGGGTCTGATTTTCAAATAAGGTCACTATATTGTTCAGCATAATGACCTCAAAATAAATGCAAAGCACAGTAGATGCAGTGTAATACATGTGAGTGCAGAAAGCGAATGGACCTGTTTTTATTAGTATTTGACTAACCGCTTAACTGAAATGTATTCAACTTTTTTTAAATTTGCAGATGAGGTTTCTGTAATAAGGAAAAGTTACCTTGCCCTGGCGCAGAGAATGACATCTTGTCTGTGCATGGCGATTTCGGATGAACTTCTGTCTGCACAGGTTATAAGTTATGAGGAGTATGATACCATAAAGAGCAAGAAAACGCAGACTCTACAAGCCCAGGATCTGCTTGATAAAGTTTTGACCAAAGGAAAAAATATAGTTGAAACTTTCAAAAAGAGCCTTGATGTCCAAGACCCCGGGCTGTACAAGGAATTATTCAGTAAGTGTTTAGATGGACCATGATAAACAATAAGAAACATGCTGATTTGATCTATACTTGTATGGTGGTGCATGTCTGTGTCCAGGAGTCTCCCTTTTTTTTTATTTTGAGTTTGTGGGGATACCATATTGCAGTGAGCAGGTTATGGGGGCACAACCTGTGCTTTTCTACACTTTACATTATAGAAGGTGACTGTATGTAGTGCTGCAGCATGTGTTCTTGCTACAGCGTAGCAGTGAGTGACCAGCAGACCGTGTCTGGTTCAGTTTCCTGATGTGCAGGTGTACAGTCCTCCAGTCTTCTCAACATTACCAAAAGGCAGAAGTAAAACTGAAACCAGAAAGGGGGGCTTTACCCTACCTCTATGAATTACAACCTTCTTATTTTCAGCTAGGTTTTAATAGTGAGATTTGTGATGCTGCCACATAAGATGCATTAATAGTGTTTGTGACCAAGGCTTAGCTTACCAACAGATATGTTGCAGGATTTGTCTACCTGACCGCGGCATTAGAGTGCACTTACATGGGCATATAGATCAGAACATCTTCACCCCTCTCTTTTGTGATGACTCCCTGTGGGCCTCTGTTCCCGTTTGTTAAATAGAGGTTTCTATGGGGTTCACCACAAGTCCACAAATCGTGGACTGGCAGTGCCATTTTGGGCTAGTGATTTCTGCACCTGTGTTTATGGTGGGTTTTTGTTTTTTTGCCGGCAGGTTAGACGTTCTGTCAAGTTTTTAATGTGGTCTGTGCCCCCACTTGGGAGATTTCCCCCTCTGTTTGTCCTGGTGACCATTTGTCACTGAGAAAAAACTGGGGGAAATTCTAGAATTTTACAGTTGTCCTCAAGGGACAGTTGCTCGGGACAACTGTCGAAGAGGGACATTCGTCTCTCTGGGACATGAAGTGACAAAAGTTCCCACTGTGGTACACAGACCACAAAAATTACCATGGCACGGGGTTTATCAAAACAAAAAACTATACATGTATGTAGAGGCAATTTAATCCTATTTTTACTGTAAAGGTATTTCTTCCTGTTGTATTCATGCACTCCTGCCGTCTATAGATGTGCGTTAGCTAAAACTCGTATTTTTTTTTTCCCCTCAGTTGAACAGTCTTTGAGAAGTCAAGCATCAGATGACTATTCAGGTAAACATCATTGTGACTTTGTATCTGCCTGATACTCATTAGAAAACTAGTAATATTCAAGTATATATATTCTAGCTAAAACCTTCTGCAGCATCTAAACCCATATGACTTGAACAAGCTGTTCTATTGGGTTTGGCACAGTGGATTGTTCAATATTTGTCTGCACACGGAGTCATACACACCTGACCGGAATCATCAGGATATGACTAATGCTTCTTTTGGTCTAAATAAATTGTCCCATGTCTGGTTAGGACTTGTGTGCACTGAGTCACACACATACACTGGATAATCAGGACATGGCTAATGCTACCACTGGAAAGGCGTATCTAAGACTAGAGCAAGTTTTTACTTTGTTATAGATTATTGAAGAATCAGAACTACTGTCGGGTTTTTATTGCTGTGTCCCCACTGGGGGGATCACTATATGTCCTGGTGACCATTGTCTCTGAAATAGAAAATGATGGTAAATTCCAGATTACGAGAGGAAATCTTCACCTGTTCTGATGACCACTACGAGGGGATTTTCCTTCACTTTGGAGCAGCTTCTTGTGTGTCCAGGACTGGAAGTGAAGGGCACATACAGTAAAAATAGAATAGGGTTTAAACCTGTCCCTGCAATTTTAACATAAAACATTCTTTTCTTTTAAGGTCTTAAGCTCACCACACACTGTGCAATATACCTTGGATCTACCAAAAAACTGTGTAGTGCAAGGGCCTGTCTGATTGATTGATTGATTAGATAGCTTAGGTAGGTCAACATGACATCATTTTGGTAGTTCCGAGGTTGGTTGTACACTTAGATTGTAATGTGTATGGTGAGGCTTTTGTACACCATTTTTAGATGAAGACACATTTGCCTTGAAATCCCAATTTCTTCAAACTGTTGTTATTGGCAGCTTCTGGCAGAGAATGTGTCGGTATACAAGTGTGGAAGCTGCCATTACTGACCTGTTTAGGTTCCAGGGCTGTCGAGCTTTTTTTCTTCCTGCACTAAGAAGTAAATCCTGTGAGTCGGAAAAAGCCTCAGCATTTCAAGTCCATGCCATGGCTGACTAAGTAGTGCAGAAATGATCCGAACTAGTTGCAGATAACATTCAGTATATTAGCACCTGATACTTTACCAGAAGAGTCCTCTAATTTTTTATTTTTTTCATTTTTAGATTTGCCTATGGAAGAGCAATTAAGAAGATTGCAAGAAGAGCGGACCTGTAAAATTTGTATGGACCAAGAAGTGTCCATCGTCTTTATTCCATGTGGGCATCTAGTAGTATGCAAGGATTGTGCACCATCCCTACGGAAATGCCCGATTTGCAGAGGAATAATTAAAGGAACAGTTCGCACATTTCTTTCATGAAAGTGGAGAAGAATTCTAAAATGACTTGTTTATTTCTTTTTATTTAATAAAAGTCTGTTTACTCCTTTTGTATGTTTTGTTTTTACTCTTCCTGGGCTGTGGGATCGGTTTTCCAGTGAAGCAGACCTTCCATCGTTGGGTGTATAGTCTGAGTTTGTTCTTGAAGCTTTTTATCCTCTGCTTGTGTGTGAACAGCATTTGATGTTACTGAACAATTTTTCTGTTCTCCCCTCCCCCAGCACCCACCGCTGAGCTCCATGGCCGAATAGATTAGATCTTTTCATGATAAATAAATGGGGCTGATAAGGAAAGGAGAAGTCGCCAATCTGGCACAAGGAAGTATTCTTGATTGAACTTACAGTAAACCGTTTTATTAGTGACGCATAATCATTAATAAACCGTTTACTGTTCAGTCAGAGTACAAGAGGCCACCACCTGAAACTGGCAGAGAAAAGGTGTAATCTTAAACAGTGAAAGGGATTCTTTACTGTGAGAGCTATAAAATTGTGGAACTCCCCTTCCACAGACAGTGGTATTGGCTGACATTATGGAATCATTCAGGACCCTTCTAGATACCTTTCTCAGCACACAAGGGGTACAGGTAATCTTCGTAACAAAACCCGAAGGTTGAACACATTGGACCTGTGTCTTTATTGGACCTGTGCCTTTGTTCAACTTTTAACTATGTAAATGGAAATTCAAGCTTTTCAAAACTGCTTTTTGTTCTAGTTTACTGGATGGTCCAGGATTGGGATGACAACCCCAGTGTCAGGACCCCATTCCCAGTGTTTTAATTAACTAGTTAAGTAACTTGCCACCTAGTATGGCATTTTCATGCAGTAAACCTGAGGCCATAATATGGGTGCTATATATTCAGGGCAACAAGCTACCTATGATTTGACTTTGGGCTCTGTGCACACCAGGTAGAGGCAAATTACAAAAGTTGAAGGATAAGATTTTTCAGCATCTGGTTTGGTCTATCCCTAGAAAAGAAAGTATTCATATTGGAAAAATTTTTCCAAGACTCCCAGAATCCATCCCAGCAAAGCTCTATGCCTCAGGAGCAGAAGAGGAAATGGCCATCCAATAAGAGCTAAATGAAGGAAGTTTGATGTTACTCCTTCAGAAGCCAACAATAATAAAGACTCCAAGTGAAACCAAGATGGAGCTAGTGGGGGGGTGGGGGACTTTCACAGTTTTACAAGCAGTGGGAAGAGATTACGGACAGACTTTACACGCTACTGCTGATAAAAGGATTAGCGTGTAGGATTTCAGTTTCCCCCTCAAACTTTTTTTTTCTACCAGATTACCAAAAGACCCAGTAAAGGTGGTGGGATTGGAGGAATGCATCTGGGCTTTCGCTTTACAATGAGTGATCACTCCAGTCCCCCAAAATTTACATTTTCAGGGAGCGTTATTCCCATGTTTTTCCTGGCCCAGAAGCCTTTGGGAAAATTCAGAATAACTATCTCAGATTTATAGTCAAACAGGTTTTTGGAATACATGTCCAGGATGGAGAACATCTATTGAGTCCTTAGCGATTCTGTCAAGAGAAGGCTTCATGATTACTTTAGACCTGAAAGATTCTTATTTGCATGTCATGATATTTCAGGGCCACTAGATAACTCTGTTTTGCCGGTTCTGTCAGATCCAGGGTCAAAGCACTAGCGGTTTCAGGTGCCGGTTTTTGGTCTTCCAGCGGCTCCAAGGATATTCGCCAATGGTTCATCCAAAGCTGCAAGAGGTTTTTCTCATCCCTTTAGACAACATTCTTCTGTTCGGATCATAAGAAGAGAGTGCTAGCAGACTTGTGTCTGGTCCGCCTTACCTTAGAGAACTTGGGTCGGGCCATAGTTGGTTCCAGGACATTTTTGGTATATGGCATCAATTCAATAACCCAGGAGATTCTTCTTCCAGAAGATGTTTGCAAGCTCTTGCAGGTGACCAATCAGGTTACGGAAGTCTCGATCAGGGAAGTCATGGGGCTCATGACCTCTTTCATTCCATTTCTGACCTAGGCCCTGGAGCACTTAAGGTCCCTTCAGTATTTCCTGTTAAATGGGATCAGAAGGGCTCATTGGACTATATAATTCATCTTATCCCCGAGATGATGGATGGATGTGAAGAAATTAGCACAGGGCAGAACTTGGAAACAAGCTTCCCCACTAAGGATAACCACAGCTGTCAGTTCACAGGGATGGGGGGGAAAGCTTTTTGAGTCATAATGCTCAGGGGCTTTGGGCCCAGAAGCTGCCTCAGAGCACCTCCAATCTTAGAAAATTGATGACAGATATTAAGATAAATGAAGTGCTAAACAATGGTTTTTAACCATTTTGATTGCGTTTCCTCTTAGGTTGCTGTCCTGGAAGATTGCTGGAAACACTCAGAAGTGTCAGCTGAAGCAGAGACATTGGTGCACAAACATGTAAACAAAGCTGATAGTGAAGCAAGTACTGTACTGTGCTGACAGATTTAATTATCTGATGTGAACACTGACCTAACAAAGGGTTAAAAAAGTATGCGTGTTAATAAGAGGAAGCTCGGTTTCTTGTTCTAGTTGCAATTTCAAACCGCTGAGATAAGCTTGGTAATTGCACGAAACAACCCTCACCAAAGAGCTAAACAGCTAAAAGGTAAAGACATTTTGAAAAATGATTTTTGGGTATGCTGTGTGAATGGGATCACATAAGAAACATATAGTGGGGGATTTTCTCAAATTTGATTGCAAAAAGTGGAACTTCACTTTAAGAAATGTACTGGTTCATTAGAGGCAGTGTAAAACTAATAGTAGTGTGTTCACTTAAAGGAGAACTATGAGGTGAGTGAAAATCACTCAGCCTCATAGTTAGAGCCGACGTGTGACAATGAACCTGTCACAGGTCGGCTCAATAGATCGGGAAGTGAGCGAACACATACCGTCGCTGGCTCACTTCTCGATCATGTCCCTGCAGAGAGCCGTGACTGTCAGTCACTGCTCCCCGCAGGGATTCCCCCCCTCCCTCCGGAATGGACGGGGGAGGGCACAGCTGGCTCTGCCTCTAGATAGGCAGAGCCCGCTGTCACTCATGCAACTGGGTGGATCTCGACACTCATGTCGGGATCCGTCCCGGCTGCGGCGGTCTCATTATACTGTGAGCTGTAGCTCGCATTATACTGAGCTTTGGGTCACGGGAGGACGCTAGTATATGTCCTTCGGTGACCCTTAAGAGAACTATGGTGCAAAACACTTACCCGATAGTTCTTTCTTAACAACTTCAGTACCAGCATGTGCCACCCCCTTCCTGTCCAGGCCATATGTCAGTACTATGGAAGTTTAACAATTACTCATCATGGAACACTATACCCAAATTAATTTTATATCATTTTATTGAGACAGAGCTTTCTTTTGGTGGTAATAAGTAATGTTTTTTTTTACATTTTATACTATATAAATGAAAAAACCTGAACATATGGTGGAAAAAAATGGTTTCCCTTACTTTGTTATAATGAGACTTGTTCAGGCTGGCACTGGTACTGGATGACGCTGACACCGGTAATGGAACTGGCTGGCACTGGTACTGGATGACGCTGACACCGGTAATGGAACTGGCTGGCACTGGTACTGGATAATGCTGACACTGGTAATGGAACTGGCTGGCACTGCCAGCTAGATTTTAACGTGTGTGCAAAAATAAAAAAGTGAAGTGGTTAAAGATTTCTGGGAACATGAAACAAATATGGAACCGGTGTTAACAAATTTGGCTGCAAAAGTACCCGTTAACCACTTCCCATTTTAAGCAATTTACAGACATATTAAAATCAGAATTTTTGGCTAGAAAATTAGGTTTGCCAAATCAATTATTACAGGGCAAACATTTTTTAAATAATTGCTACAATGAGTTTTAGTGCACACAAACAGAATATAATAGCCATTTAAAAAAAATTCTTCTAAAATATAAAAGATGGGGTTGTGTCGGGTAAATAGATACCAAACATGTTAAGACTCAAAAAAAACCCAAAAAACTGCAGTGCCTTAAAATGCCCATAGGTGATGCTTTTAAAGCTAACAACCCCGCCATGTGATAGAATAAAGGAAGTGACAGGTCCTCTTTATGCGGACATCAGGGGTCACCAGCTGGAGCTCGTCCTCACTCCCACATTAGCTGCTGTCAAAACAATAAAACATCCAGCTGCACTCCATGTGTCGCTGGAAACTTCTTTTTATTAAACAACAATTTATATCTAAAAATACATTTTTATTGGTATAAGTATATATTCAAATATTTGTAAAAACAGAGAATGCCATGTGTCCATTTTGTTACAATGTTGTTGCGATCTAGTACAATACAATGAATACATACGCAATTGATTGCATGAATTGAATATGACAAGCGATATACTTAATTGTACAGACTCGGCACGCTTCGTGATATTGCTTCTAGAAGAGTCCTGAAAATCCATAATTTGTAAAGTTACATGGTGTAGCGTGTTTCCCCCAATCACGGACTTCATTGTAGAGTACTCTACGACTGAGACAGAGAAGCGTGATTCCTCACTCCAGAGAACACGTCTCCACTTCTCTAGAGTCCAGTGGCGGCGTGCTTTCCATCACTGCATCCGACGCTTTGCATTGCACTTGGTGATGTAAGGCTTGGATGCAGCTGCTCGGCCATGGAAACCCATTCCATGAAGCTCTCTACACACTGTTGTTGTGCCAATCTGAAGGCCACATGAAGTTTGGAGGTCTGTAGCTACTGACTCTGCAGACAGTTGGTGACTTCTGCGCTCTGTGCGCTTCAGTATGCGCTGACACCGCTCTGCCGTTTTACGTGGCCTACCACTTCCTGGCAGAGTTGCTGTTGTTCCCAGTTGCTTCCACTTTGTTATAATACCACTAACAGGTGACCGCGGAATATTTAGTAGCAAGGAAATGTCACGGAAGGACTTATTGCACAAGTGGCAACCCATCACGGTACCACGCTTGAATTCACTGAGCTCCTGAGAGCGACCCATTCATTCACAA